ACAGAAAAAGAAGGGAAAGGAACAAGTTACATAGAAAAAGTGAGAACAGATCCCACAGGAGCTCTGGGGACAGGAGAATCAGACTGACTGAGGCAGTGTCCACCTCCGAACAAAAGAAGGTACAAAGGAAAACAGAATGCTGCCCGCCCTGCACTTCCTGCTGAGGTTTGGCGTGGAAGGAACTTGACCTTCAGATGTGTTTTACAGGTTTTTAAGTATGTATCTATATTCAGTTACTTTGAAGTCACTGAATCTTTGCCGAGAACCTTTAAAAAAAAAAAAAAAGCACTCAGTAAGGGATCCTGTGAAAATGTCTAATCTAATAATATCATCCTAAAGCTAAATGATAAAATGCACAAAACCAGACCTGAACACTGGACAAAGGGCAGACCAGCCCTGTGGCCCTGAGCTCAACGCACACACACACACCCCACCTCCCCCCACCCCCAGGGTGGGGCTGAAGGAGGCTCCCACCTCGGCCTTTCACAGCCTCTGCCTGTGTGCTGTTTGGGTTTCTAAACAATGAAAGGGCGGGTATCCCCGAGTCTACAGCCCACCTCCTTCTCGTTCTCTGTAAGTTGTATTTAAATCGACATTTTAGATTTCCACTTGCAAAGATGAGTTTCTTTTGAGAAGTTCTGCTTCTTCCAGATCAAGACCACAGAAAAAGCAAGCCAGAGTGTTCTGAAGCCTCAACCAGACGGCATGAGGAACAGGCTGCTGGCCTGGAACTCACTACATGGCCCAAGCTGGCTTCACACTTGTGGCAATCCTCCTGCTTCCCCCTCCCCTGCGCTATGATTACAGGTGCAAGTCATCGGGCCTGGTTTGTTTCCATTTTTTGAGAAAAGATTTATTTATCTTTAATTTTTTATGTGTTTGGCCTGCATGTGGGGTCTGTGCATTACATGTGTGCAGTGCTCCTGGAGACCAGAAGGGGGCACCAGATGCACTGGGGCTGGAATTATTGATGGCTATAGGCCACTGTGTGAGTGTGAGTGTGTGTGTGTCTGTATGCTGAGAACTAGACATAGGTCCTACAAGAGTAGTAAACACTCTTAACACTGAGCAATTTTTCCAGCCCCGGGTCCTAGGTAAACATTTTCTTATTCTCTTTCTTTATTTTGGTGTGGAATCGTTCATGTGTCACGGCACACGTATGAAGACAGGGAACCACCAGTGTGGGAGTTGGCGCTCTCCTTCTACCACGTGGGTCAAAGATACTATTTACCTCGATCAGTCTCTGTGCAGCCTTGGCTTCCTGGACTTGCCCTGTAGACCAGGCCGGCCACTCACAGAGCTCCGCCTGCCCCTGCCTCCCCAAGTGCTGGGACCACAGGCGTGTGTCACCACACCTGGCTCGGCCAGCAGCCTTAATGAGAAGTGGCTTACCCACTGAGCCATCTCACCAGTCCTGTTTCTTTTGAACGAAAATCTATGAAAAACAAAATCACATTTTCCTGCCTTACAATTATGAAGATAATGTAATCTGTTTGCCTGCAACTTGGTCTCATGTGGCCCAAGCAAGACTACAACTTTCCGTGCTGCCAGGAATGATCTCAGGCCCGATTCCTGCCTACCTTCCAACTGCTGGGATCACAGGTGCACACCATAGTACTGAGCCGCCAAACTACTTCTTCAGGGTTGTAAAGTTTTCACTTATATCCAGGTTTATCATTTTAAACCTTCAGATTTGCTTCATTAAACTTACCCAACTTCTGAAACGTGTTACAATTATAGCATTTTCTGAACTATATATACACACATATATATATATATTTCCAAAAGTGCCATTTCAGGCCATATTCTTCATGTCTAAAATATGAGTTGTTCTTGTTGACTTAAAATTTATATTATGGGCTGGAGAGATGGCTCAGTTGTTAAGAGCACTGGCTGCTCTTCCAGAGGACATAGGTTCAATTTCCAGCACCTACCTAGCAGCTCACAGCTTTAAAAAAAAAAAATGGGCTGAGGTGAACGCCTGTAATCCCAGCACTCGGGAGACAGGCAGGCAAGTTCCAGGACAGCCAGAGCTGTTACACTGAGAAACCCTGTCTCGAAAGGCAAGAAAGAAAAGGAAAAAACAGCAGTGACTATGGCGTTCATGTAGCTTTCCATCCCCTCTACTTCAATTTCTTTCCGGATCATATTTCCCCATCTCTTTGGCTAGAGGATAAACTGCTGCAAACACGGCCAACCACGGCATGCAGAGGAGACTTCCAGTATTTCGACTTACTTAATTTTAATTAAAGTAAAATCCTATAATACTCTTAAAAAACAAACAACAAAGAACTAATTAGCCAGACAGGAGGTACATGCATGTAACCTCAGTAGTGGGGAAGAGCCTGGGGAATCACAAGTTCAAGGCCAGCCTGGTTTACACGGCAAGCTCCAGGCTACAGAGTGAGACTATCTCAAACATGGAAAAAAAAGTAAAGTTTCCAAAAGACAACTAATTAATAGTCCAATGCAACTTTATAGTATGATAGCCACCATCCTCGCTCTAAGTCTTCATGTGACCTTCATTCCATTAATAATTAATTATGGAGTATGGGCAAACTGGAATGCTGAGGGGGAAGTGTGGCTCAGTCGGCAGAGCACTAGCCCAGCCTAGGCAAGGCCTGGGCTGGTCCCCAGCACCACCACTGCAGGAAGGACTCAGGCGTTAATTGAAATAATGAGCCCACACAAACTGTGTCTCCACAAATCGCATATTTACATATAAAACTCATTTGTAACATTTCAAACTGAAATTGTTTTATTAGCATGTCATGGAATATTCATGAACTCCCAAGCTGGGAGGAAAAAAGAAAAAAGAAACAGCAAATGCAAAAGAAAAACTGTTCAAACATTTTTACTTTGAAAACTAGAACTCCAATGAACCGTTACTGCACCAGGAAAAGGCTTAGAGAAAACCAGATACAAATGACTCAAAAACTCAGCCTTGGAAATTTTCCTCTCCCCTCTGCCAGTCTGCTGTAATGAGGGTAATCAGGTGAGACTCACACCATGGTTCAAGCAAAGTAATTAAATGATGAACAAACTTAAAAGCATGGATTCAAGCAAGCAATGTTATTACCAACTAAATAGTACCTGAATACACACCCCCAGCACTGTTTTTTTTTTTTATGTATGTATGAGTTTTTTTCCTAAGAGAAGCAACACTGACATTTTCCCCTCTTGGATATATCAGGCTTCAAACCTCATTTCAAACCTGATGAAACTTTAAAAAAAAAAAAAATTCAAATGCAGGGTAACTAGACACTGAGTGGCAGAGAGGCTGAATTTGACAAGAATGGACAGAATGTTCTAAATGAAATCAAAGAAGTTTCACAGTTTATCACCCTCTGTGTGGCACGACGGAACAAAGGATGCCTTGGCCTCTTCTGCCCTTTTAATTTGTGAACGCAACTTTCCTATGAGAGGCCAAGGAGAAAAAGCCATCTTTTTGTAAAGCTTGCAAAGTTATAAGGTGACCATCTCATCCAGACTGCTATCAATCCTCCTCCCACGAAGTTCTTCTGATTTCCAAAATACACCCTCGAAGAAAATAGATGCGAGCACTCTACAGACTATGTACCTAGAATTCTTTAAGCCCAGGGAAAATGTTTATGATTTTCAAGCTCCATTCAGAAGCCTTTATCTGCAATGCGTAAGCGGTTTTCGGTGGCAAGCTCAGCCAGTATCAGAAGGCAGCTTAAAATGTCTAGTTGACGTGGATGAGAATCTAAAACTATCATTTTGCGAAGAAATATTATCTGCCACCTACAATCCTAAGGAATCAGCGGGCTTCTAGGCTCTGCGGTGGTCACACGAGCCTTGCACATGACCGTGAGTAAGGAAGGCTGCAGGTGAGCACTTTGCTCAAACGCCGGTGGGTGAGACAAGCGACCACAAACACCTTCTCAATTTCGTCTTCGGGTAAAAAGGTGGGAAGGAAACGGAGTTGTCGCCTCTGCTACTTCGGAGAGGAGGCGGAAAGGGGCGAAGTCGTGGTGTCCACCTAGCTGCAGCAGAGAACCGGGATCTTGGGAAAGGGATGCGGAGGAGTGGATCTTATGTAAGCACACATCAAATTCCGTGTGTGCGCACCCCCAGGCTGAGGCTCCTCTGAGCACCCAACACACGTCCCCTGCATCCCGCCAGGGTCGCCCCCCCCCCCCAGGCTGCGTGCGCTGCTGGAGAGTGGGCTGCCCCCTCCGCGCGTCCCCACACCTCCCCGGACCAGCGCCTCCGCGCCCTGGGACTGCCACTGGGGCGGTCAAGGCCCAGGCGCCCCGCCCGGGGCAGAAACTGGCTCCCCCAGGGTCTGCAAGCGCTCGCCTCGGCTCTCCGGAGCGCTGCTCCGGGCACCCGAATCCGAACCTCCCACAGAGGCGGGCTCGGAGCTCCGCACTCAGCCTGCAGCCCCGCGCTCGGGCCGGAACCCCACGGCCCAGCAGCACCACCTCACTCGGCCCCCAGCCCTGTGCGCTGACTCCGTTCGCGCCCCGGGTCCTGCACCTGTGCATCCCACAGGATCTCCGCTCCCGGCCCCGAACCTCGCCCAATGAGACGCGTGCCCTCGGACCTGAACCCTGGGCCCCGGCACGATTCCCACTCTCGGACCCAGACCCTGCGGCCCTGCGCGACTCCTGCACTCTGCCTGCACCTTGCACCCGGTTACCACTCCCTAACTCGGGCCCAAACCTTGCCCACGATTCGCGCGCTCGGATCCGAACCCTGGGCCTTGGCACGATTCCCACACTCGGACCCGAACCTTGCCTGATACGATGCGCGCGCTAGGACCCGAACCCTGGGCTCTGGCACGATTCCCGCACTCGGCCCAGAAGCCCGAGGCCCCGCTGGGCTCCAGCGCTCGGCCCCCGCCTTGCAGCGAGCACGGTTCCCGCACCCGGCCCCGACCTCGAACCCCGCCGCCCCGCAGGACTCCCGCACCCGGCCCAGCCCTGCACCCGGCTCCGGTGCCCGCACCCGGCTCGCCGCGCCCCGCCGCTTACCTCGCGCGGCCCAGACCCCGCCGCCGCACAGCAGCCCCGCCAGCAGCAGCCGGACGGCCGGGGCCAGCGCGGGCGCGGGGCG